ATCTCTCTCTCTCTCTCTCACTCACTCACTCTCTTTTTCCCTCTCTCATTTCTTCACTCTCACTCTTTCTCTCTCTGTCTCTCTCTCTTTTCTCTCTCTCTCTCTCTCTCTCTCTCTCTCTCTCTCTCTCTCTCTCTCTCATTTCCCCACTCATTCTCTCTTTGTTTCTTTTTCTTTCTCTCTCCCCCCCTCTCTCTCTTTCTCTTCTTCCCTCTTTGTCTCTCTGTCTCTGTCTCTCTTTCTCTTCTTCCCTCTGTCTCTCTCTCTGCCTCTCTATCTGCCTCTCTCTCTTTGTCTCTCTCAGTCTCTATCTCTCTCTATGTCTCTATGTCTCTCTGTCTCTCTCTTTCTCTCTCTCACCCTCTCTCTCTCTCTCTCTTTCTTTTCTTCCCTCTTTGTCTCTCTGTCTCTCACTCTCTCTTTCTCTTCTTCCCTCTATCTCTCTGTCTCTCTGTCTCTCTGTCTCTCTGGTTGATTGCACACCACCCATTGTCTGTGCTCAGAAATAGAAAAAACATAAACATTTGGAAGCGGAAGCCGCGTTGTCTCTGATTCGAAAGCGAAACTGCATACAGTTGCGAACGTGTTGTCTGTGCCTTGTTGATCTGAATTCAGAACCTAAGGTAATGATCAGATGGCTGTGGTGGTTTATTGTAGCTGAAAGCTGGGCAGTGTAGGCTAGTATAGATCTAGATCTAGACTCTAGATGGTGTATCGTGTAGAACCAAACAAGACCCACAGAGTCTCCCGAGGGAGAGAGACCAGATCTAGATCTAGATCTAGACCTCCTTAGATCTATATATCTAGATATAAATTATTATAAATATAAATATAGATCTAGAATCTAGACCTAGGCCTAGGCTTGCATCTCCTTCTTAGTAATCCCTCACTTATTATAACTAACTAATGTCCACTGGAACTGCATGCAATGTACTGGCATTTGTAGAGCTAAATCTAAGTTTGTTTGAAGTTTGATTGGAATAGCACACAGTGAGCCTAACTCTTATTACTAATACTAAATTAGTAAAACAAATTTAAGCTTCCTCTATTACCGAGTATTGGCATTCACTAATTAATGACTAGATTCTAGATCTAATGTCAATGTTAGATCTATCTCAGCTGGGCATTTTGTAGAGCTAAATCTAGGGTTGTTTAGAAAAGCGTTTGATTGTATGCTTCCTATTACTATTATTATCATTACTGACTTAGAATGGCATTCACTAACAAATGACTATAATGGCAATGCTCAATGCTAGATCTAGGGTTGTTTAGTGTTTGATTGGAAATGTCACACGGTGAGCCGAACGGTTTTAACTAATTAAAAGTTGGTGGCTCGGGTGACTAAGTCAACTAACTGAGTAGGCCTAGATCTCGAACCGTCATTTCAGTTTGGGAAATTTTTCGCAGCTCGTCCGACACAAAAGCATAAGCCTAGATTTTTTGTCGAATAACTTTCGATCTCCTTTACTTTAACCTAGATTCTCTAAACGGCACTCTTCGAGGGAAGTGGTCCCGGCTTAACACCATAGAAATAACACTAAGACTTGTAGTCAGAAACAAAAACAGAAGTCGAGTAAAAAAGCTGTCTTCGGTAAATTTTTTTCCTTACTTCAAGTTTAGAATATTTCCCACATTAATTTTTTAATCGGCTTCCTTTTTTGTTTCCGATTGCAAGTGTTATTTCTACGGAATAAGGCCGGGACTACTTCTCCCGAAGAGTGCCCTCTAAACGAGTGACAACCCCGTTTTGTCTTTTCGAGCAAAACTTTTTTCAACGTTATAGATTGGTGTGGAAGGGCACTTTTCTTAGAGAGGCCAGAATATTGCTCGATATGAGTCGGGCGGAACTATTTTCTTACGGATATTGATAAGTAAATGGGACAAACTGATACAAGACCGGGAACAGTAGCTCGATAACATTAACAATCAGTGCCGTCTGTCTCAAGTCATCCGTCAGAAAATCGTGTCTTTTCATCGGACAGGCTACAGCACGGGCAAAAATAGTTTTGGTGTCGACGGACATCCCCGCTCCGTCCCTCATGTTTAAACCGACTGCGTCAGTGTCGTTCTGTAGGTATTAATTTTAAATAACGTTTCCAAGCCCTCTGACCTGGTAACCGTAACAGTTTTGGTCAGGTCCATTTTTCCCCTTCTCTTTCCCCCGATCTCGGAATCTTCGCGGAGAGGAGCAGCGCCAGCCGTTTGCCAGCGACGAGGAGACAGTGAGTTCTCACGCATCCTCAAACCCGCACACACGCACGCACCAACACACACACACACACACACACACACACACACACACACACATACACTCGTGCGCGCTTAGCAGTCCGACCCAAAATAGGTATATTTCATTAAAACATTTCCAGTCGAAAGTCGGGCTTGAGTTGTTTTCTTATTCGTACATTCATATAATATAAGTGAGACAAATTATCGATAAAAGACCAATGCGACAGCCATATACATATATTGTACGCACACAAACACACGCACATGCATGCATGCGCGCACGCACGCACGCATGCACACACGCTTGCACGCATGTACGCACACACTCAGGAAAAAGAGAGAGGAGAGAGAGAGAAAGAGAGGGAGAGAGAGTCAGCAGCACTTCCCGGTGTGTCCCGTAGGTCTGCGCTCATAGAAAAAGCTCACTTTGGGCGTATATTTTTCCAGTCTAGCGGAAAATACAAATCATCGCCAAACCTTTCGTGAAAGAGAAAAAAATATTTTGAAAATAAGGGGCAAAGATGTTGTCACCCCATAACCCCTATTCCCCCCCTCTCTCTGCTCCAACCCACCCTCTTTATCTCTCTCTCTCTCTCTCTCTCCCTCTCTCTCTCCCTCTCTTTCTCTCTCTCTCTCTCTCTCTCTCTCTCTCTCTTCCCCTTTCTTTCCGCTCTCTCTCTTCTCTTCTCTTTCTCTTCTCTTCTCTCTCTCTTCTCTTCTCACTCTCTCTCTCTTTCTCTTCTCTTTTCCTTCTCTCTTTCTCTCTCTCTCTCTCTCTCTCTCTCTCTCTCTCTCTCTCACTCTCTCTCTAGGTCATTAGAACCAGAAAACCTTCCTCTATAACACACTGATAATCGGCATGAATCGGAAAGAAAGAAATTTGTTGAAAATACCGTTTAATGGTATATTATCGAAATTATCAAATATCGATACCCGATTATTTAAGAATCGCACGTCATATCTCACACTGCAAACATTTTAAACCACTGTACGGGGCTCTGTTCCTTAAAACTTATGTTTGTTATCCTAAATATGGGAATTTGAGTTCTAAGCCTAAAGATTTTTAACGGGGAGCTAAAAAATTTGAGTAGTAATGTACATTGAGTAATCGATACTAGTAGCTGTTTACAAATGAGATATGAGAGAAAGTGGTGGTGGGGAAGCAGTAAGAAGAAGGAGAAGGAGAAGGAGAAGGAGAAGGAGAAGGAGAAGGAGAAGAATAAGAAGAAGACGAAGAAGAAGAAGAAGAAGAAGACGAAGAAGAAGAAGAAGAAGAAAAGCCAGCCGTAACCATTATTACACTACAGACCGAAGTACAGACGAACAAAAGCACAGAAAAAAAGACGAGGTGTGCAAATCTGCTCTTCCCGTTGTGTCCCGGAGGTCTGCGCTCTTCGATAAAGACGCACTGTATGCGTATTTTTTTTCAGTGGACAAACCCTTCGTGAAAGAGAAAGACAATCGTTTGAAAGTTGTTATCTCCCCATACACCTACCCCCCCCCCTCATCTCTCTCTCTCTCTCTCTCTCTCTCTCTCTCTCTCTCTATTTCTCTCTATCTATTGCTCTCTCACTCTCTATTTCTCTCTCTATCTTTCTCTCTCTGTCTCTCTCTCAATATATTTCTCTCTAGCTCTCTCTCTTTCTCTTCCCCCCCTCTCTCTTTCTATCTCTCTCTTTCTCTCTCTCTCTCTCTCTCTCTCTCTCTCTCTCTCTCTCTCTGTATTTTATAATTTAACTCGCTTGGTCTTTTACGTTCAGTCACGGCTTCCATCGCCTTTCTTCGGTAGATTGCACACCACCCCTCGTTTGTGCTCAGAAATTAGGAAAAACATAAACATTTGCCAAGCGGAAGCCGCGTTGTCGAAAGCGAAACTGCATACAGTTGCGAACGTGTTGTCTGTGCCTTGTTGATCTGAATTCAGAACCTAAGGTAATGATCAGATGGCTGTGGTGGTTTATTGTAGCTGAAAGCTGTGCAGTGTAGGCTAGTATAGATCTAGATCTAGATTTAGACTCTAGATGTTGTATCATGTAGATCTAGAACCAAGGGAGAGAGACCAGATCTAGACCTAGAATCCAGACCTAGGCCTAGCCTAGGCTCGCCCCTCCTTCTTACTTCTTCTTAGTCCCTAACTTATTATAACTAACTAATGTCCACTGGAACTGCATAGGCTAGTATAGATCTAGATCTAGATCTAGATTCTAGATGTTGTATCAGTCGTGTAGAACCAAACAAGACTCACAGCTAGGCTTGCTTCTCCTTCTTAGTACTTCTTAGCTCTTAGTCCCTAACTTAGTATAGATGTAGACTGTAGACTGTAGTGATTCTAACTTATGACCACTGGCACTGCATGCAGTGTACAGGGGTAGGACTGGCCTTTGTAGAGCTAAATCTAGGGTTTTGTGTATAATGGGAATAGCACACGGTGAGCCTAACCTTAATACCTAATACTAATACTAATACTAGATCTAGATCTAGATCTAGATCTAGATCTAGATCTAGAAGATTCTAATACTAATTTATAACTAATATTTAATCGAAGTGGCTAGCCGTACTTAAGTAGACTGAGAGTCTAGCCGTA